CTAACAGTCTTTAATAGCTGTCCCGTGTTGGTGATTCCAGTGGACTGTATCTCTGTGAAAAACACAATTTTGCCTTTTTGTAATTCTATTTGAGCAAGGTGGAAGTTTAATTATCTTTCCAGCCAACCAAATTTCTGCATTCGAGTCTTAACCATATTTAAGTGTTACTGTGGCTTCAAAGAAGCTATTGAATCTGAAGTAGTGGGTTTTGATTGAGTTGACTGTTTTTAAAACTGTTTGGATTTTAATTGTGATGTGGAAGTTATAGTAACAAACATTTGGCTTTATACAGATATTATTTCCACTCTGGTGGATAAGTTCAATAAAGGTCATACCCCCCCCAAAAAAAAATAAAAAATAAAAAAAAAAATAAAGCATATACCCAAAAGGATTGGAAAGAGACCTTCCTATACCTGTACATCCAGGCTCTCATGAGCATCAGCCACAAGAGCCAAAAGTAAAGCAACTCAAGTGGCCACCGATGACAAATGGATAAACAAAAGGTAACTTAGTTTGAGTTTGAAACTTCCCTCAAAGGCCCACGTGTAGAAGGCCTGGTCACCAGCCTATGGCGCTGCCAGGAGGTGGTGGGGCCATTAGGAGGTGGGTCTTGTGGAAGAAATCTAGATCCCTGTGGGGGTGCCCCTGAAGGGAACATTGGGACCCTTGCCCCTTCCTTGTTTTGCTTCCAAGAACTCATGCCAAGACATATTGTGCTGCCACAAACCCAAAGCAATGGGACCAAGGAACCATGGGCTGAAAAGAAATCTTTTTCTTTATTGAATTGTTTTTCTCAGGTATTTTGTCACAGGGACAGAAAGTTGACCAACATAGTGGCATAAACATACCACTACGGAATTTTATTCAGCCTAAAAGGAAAGAAATTCTGACCGTGCCATAACATGAATGAACCCTGAGGACATTATCCTAAGAGAAACACGCCAGTCACACAGGGTGAGTACTGTTTGATTCCTGTTATACAAGGTACCTAGTGTAGTCAAATCCACAGAGACAGAAAAGAGAATGGAGGTTATCAGTCTAGGGCTAGCAGTAGGGCTAGCAGTACAGTGCCAAGGGCTGAAAGCGTGGTGAGGTGGATGAGAAGTTATTTAATAGGAACAGAGTTTTTACTTTGCCAGATGAAGAGTTTCATGGATGGATAGTGGTGATGATGGTGCTATCATGTTTATACGACAACATCAATAAACTTCAAGACACTGACAAAAAAAAAATGGTTAAGATGGTTATATATATTTTACCACAATTTTAAAATATATGTACTAATTTGTCCTGATTTCTATCAGAAAAATAAATATAAAAAGATCCTGGAATTTGAATAACAAGGAAAGGAGTAGCTTATCACCCTAAGGAGGTGGGATAAGGAGCCAAGGATTACTGGCAGAGAAACTGGGAAGTCCAGAGTCTTGCAGCCTCTGCGGGGAGACCCATAAGGAGGAAAGGGACTGGGCTGGCCAGCCAGCGAAGCGTGGAGGCGACTTTGCTGAGAGCGTCGATCTGAGTCGAGGTGATTTGAGTGGGTTGCTACTAGAAACATTAGAAATGATACAGAACCAAAAAAAAAAAAAAAAAAAAAAAACAAGGAGAAATGAAAAGAACTTGGTGGGGCAGGGAAAGAGGGACCAAGTCTGTAGTCTAAAATGAAAGTCTAGGAATGCATCCATAGCAACAAACACTGGAGGAAAGCTAAAAGGAGAAGGCCAGAGGAGGCTAAGAAAAAGATGAGAGGGTTTGGGCTCCTCATCTGCAAGCAGCTTGGGAAGTTAAAGAATTCAGGCAGCACCAAGCAATGGCCTTTGTCTCCACAGTCCTAGGACCTTAGACGCGTCACCTGAATTCTATGGACCTCCATTTCTTCACCTACTGAGCCAACAGACACGAACAAAGCAAGAAGAAACTTTAGGCTTTAGGGGCTCCCAAGCCTCTCAAATTTCTTTTCCAGAATAATATGTGTATATTTTCCTGGGGAAACACTTAAAAATTGTACCAAAAATTTGAGGCTGTTCACATCCCCAGAGTGGTTGGGAACCAGTGGAAAAAGATATGCGCTAGGTTCACTCTCATTCAGCCAGAAAATCTTAAGATTCCAAAAAATCTTGGATTAAATTCCAATAAATCTTTGGGCTCCAAATAAATCCAGATATTTATTCCTGCCTTGCCTGCCACACAGATATTATAAAAATGTAACAAAATAATGACATGCTTTGAAATGTTAAGATTATGTCTCCTGTGTAAGTGAATATTCTTGCTGTGGTTGCTTAAAAGAAAGCAAGAGAAATGTTGGAGCAGGCCTCTAGGAGGAAGGAAGAAACCAGCCTCTTTTTCCAGAGCAAAGGAAGCATCATGATAAGGGGGCAGATCTGCTCCGGGACAGCCCTTAGCTTTCCTCATTTGGTTAGAAATGGAGAGGCCTTATCTTCCCTAGTGGAGAGCAATCCAACTCTAAAAGACAAGTAAACACAACCTCCTGAGGAGGTACAGCCAGGACAGAGGGAAGCGTCTCTTGTGTAAGTAGTTCTCATTCTGCATCTGGCTTTGCTTTGGCCCTGGGAATGCTCAACTGTGTGACAGAGGAAAATGAGCTTGAGGATCCATCAGGGGAAACAGCGCAGGCAGAGGACAATATTTGGCGACCAGAGAGCAAGGCTCGGACTGAAGTCCTGCATAATGACTAGGCCAAAATCAGCAGGGCAAAGGGAACATCCCCTCTGCTCAGCACCCACCTGGCCAGAGGGAGTCAGCCAGAGGCAGAGGGAGGACAAAAGTTTGGCGCCAGCTCGGTCGGTGTAGGAAACGGCCTTAGAACGGAGCAGTGTTGGCCTACACAGAGATGGAGATCATCTCTTTTGATCTCATTTCCTATCTGAGGACATGGCTGGGCAGGCAAATAGGGAGTCTCTTCAGGGAATCTAGGGCCGGAAGCCATGACAGGAACTCCCTTCACTCATTCCTTAGCATGGGGATCGAATATGAACAACAAATCCAGTTCTCTGACCTGATGGAGTCTGCAGTCTAATGAGGGGCCAGACCACCCACCGACTGGAAGATTCACTACAATCCTGCAGCTGTCTAGGCAGAGCCATAGTTCTCTCCACAGAAGGTATCCTATGCCTCCTTCCTTTGGGGCAGCTATATTCAGATAAGGGGGGAAGGGTAGGCTTGGCCACTTTTACCCAATACCGAACTGAATAGAAAAAAATTGGGGTATTTAGTCCAAGGCGAGCCAAAGGTCCTCCACAGCTCTGGTAAGATGTCTGCACCGGGTCATCAGAGGGAGCCTTGGTGTGCCCAGCACCATCAGGAGCACTGGTCCCCTCAGGCAGGCTGGCCACAGCCCTCTCCACATGGCGCTGTGGCACATGCCATTCATTATTTCCTAACTCGCCTCCCAGAGCTGGTCCTGAATATTGTTTCATAAATAACTTAACAGGGCTCCAGCTTGTTTAGCTGAGGTTAGGCAGATGTGCACAGCGCTGACTGATTAGGAGGGAATTTTGCCCCTCTGAGTAGTGCTGAGAGGAAGATTCTCTGCGGAGGGGTGGCTCAGTGGAGAAGGCAACCACATGGCTGGTGTCCCCACCTGGATCCCTGGATCACAGCAGGATGCTGAAAGAGCATTTGTTTCCAATTGTTCTTAGCCACTAATTTGGCTCCAGGGTATAACACCAATCTGAGAACAAACGGAGTAGGAAAACTGTGCCTTTCTTAAGGAGCCGAGTATCACCATCCACCAGGGAGGGGCCAGGAGGTTTTCAGAGTCTAGAGTTCACAGCCCAGGTCCTTGGCCTCCCCCACAAAGGTAGGCAGCAGGGCTGACAGCTCCGCTTTCCAGCTCTCCAGCCCTGGAGCTGCCCTGGCTGCAGTGCCATCTGCCAAGGCTCGAGCCTTGCCTGCTCATGGCTCCTTCGAGGTGCCTCCAGCAGAGGACAGATTATTCTGATCGCAGGTAGATAAAATGGGGTCCCTCGCTGGCAGTAAATACCCAGAACAATTCCTCTCCTACACAGCTGACAGTCTCTACCTGGCATCTGCCAGCAAGAGAGTTTGCAGGTGTCAGGGGCTGGTGCAGGCGATCGTGGCCAGGCATGGAAGCAACTATGAAGACCCTCAACAGGCAGGACAAGGCCGGAGTCACTCTGTCAGGCTACAATCAGGTCAGCTTGAGGCGCGCAGCCTCCAGGGGCAAAGGGGGAAAGCTGGTGAGCCGGGCTGCCCGAAGCCACTTGCTCAACACAGATGTGCGAGACTGCCTGCCGGTGTACCAGGGGCCCTTCTTGTGGTTAAATTGTCTGGTGTGGCTTAAAATAACTAAGCCAGAGAACTTTCAGCATGGCCCTCTTGAAAGTGGACCAGCAGACAGAACCAGCTCTCACAGCTTTCACTCACAACCTGCCAGCAGATGCGTCATGGGATCTGTGACAAAAAATGCCTCTTTGCAGGACTGTGATTTGGCTACTCAGCAACCTCATCCATCTAACATACGACAAAAGGACTGGAGAGGGAACAATTTCTAGAAACCCGTGAGTTGTGAAAATACGCATTGCAAAGTCTCTGCCCTGGAGTTTATGAACCTTATTCAGAAGGGCTCTCTAGGCCTTGTTTAGGGCTTCTTTGCTCTTTTGTTACGTTTCTGACAGGTTATGCTGTCCACTATGTTTTGACCTCAGTGGATTAGAAGACATAAAGAAGATAGGCCTTCCCCAAAATACAAACTGAGGGTGGCCTAAGGGTTGGCCAAGGAGAGATCTAGGGGGTCACCCAGGGGACCACCCAATAAGCCTCAGTCATGCTCAGGACAACTGGCCTAAGAAGACATGGATGTCCACTATTTATAAGGTGCAAAACACCCTTGGAGTATCTTTTTTTTTTTTTTTAT